ACATTTTCATGTTTTCTTCAAGTTTTAGGGGGGGGGGAAATACAAGTTATAACACCAAAAACATAATCTAAACGTAAGCATCAGATTTCAACAGAAACGTTATGGTCCATTGACGGACTGTTTCGACCATCTTAAACATAATATTTTACAAAATTGTATAAGGTGAAAATAGTTTAGGTTTATACCTTTATAAGAACTACTCGCACACGTTCATACGATTTTTCCACAATTTATGGCGATTTTTACAAAACTGCCTATCATTTCAGAAATGACAGTCTGTGAAGATGGACATTTTCACACTGGTTAGAGACCACTAAAAATCATAATAAAAATTATGAACAAACTAGACACATTTTCTGAACTCTCATAGTCTACGGATTCAGTTTTCGACTTACGGTGATTTTTCTATGATTATTCTAAAAACAGTGACAGAAAAGTTAAAACTAGTAAAATAGTTTACAAGTTCATTAACACTTTATAACATGTTGAGCAAAGTGTATAGAAATAATAAGCTACATGTTGATTGTATTTCATGTTAGTTTACTTCCATGAAAAAGAAATAATCATTCACATAAGGGTCTTTCATCATTACAAACATATATGATAAACTATAATAGGTATAGTTTATGGTACATTAACACTACGAACATACTAAGGAAGGTTTCATTTCCACTACAAAAAGGGTTTTCATTCACACTACACGTAAACTCGTTGAATCAAATTTGTGATACATTACTTCATTGGAATCTTTAGAGTATCGGTTAAAGTCTTGTATTATAACCATAGTCTCTTGTAGGGAGAGCGTGATACTTGTGTATAGATCTATATTGGGACTGACAATCCCGCACCTAAGTTGCATGCAACAGCTAGACCGGCAGGTCTGGGCTGACAAATGTCATAACATTCCGACGCCTGAAATACGTCGTAACAGGTCATCTATGTCATTACCACGGTTATAATAACTCACATAGGGAAACAACGACACATATAATTTACGGGGATTCTTACATTTAAAAGGGTTTTATTTATCTAAAGCTGCTTATACTATCATAAGTATGGAAAATACTTGTACATTTCGGTCTTTGAGTCTTAAGACTGCAACTCATTTTATAAGGAAAGTATTGGATTTTTCTTGAACATACACTACATTTAAAAAGAAAGGATTTCAACTCTACATATAAAAGCTTATGCACTCACAAACTGAATTGTTGACACTCTTTCAAAATTACTTGTATTCCCAGGTAATCATTAAAAACAAGTAACTACCATCTTTTGAGGATGGAACGTTACGGCGTCAGACAAACCATTTTATAATTATATTGTAATCGATTTTGAAACATGTAACTCATGACACCATGTAACTTTCTCGATTATATTTATGATGGTTGTGTTTACTTTGATCACTATTATACTCGTTGTTATGATACTATACATGAAGTCCTCCACCCCCGGACGTTTCCGCCATCCTAGGTTTGGGGTGTGACAAAATACTTCAAAGGCAATAACCTTCAAAACAACATTAGGACACAACTATATTAGATGGATGCCATACGAACACAAACACTTTAAGAAAAAAAAGGATTAGGAAGGACTCTTAAACCACAAACTAGATGTCGCATGTGGAGTCTCACCTTATCTGATGGAGGATCAAGAATCGAGGAAGAAGAAAAAGGCAGTAGGACACCATGCAGAGCAGATAGATGGTATTGATGAACATATCGGTCTAAAGTAAAACTCTCAATGTTAGAAATAATGGATGACATTTCAAGAGCCATGGTAGAATAGGTCGACAAAAAAGAAAAGAGTGTACGATAAACAATGTTCCAAAATTTCATTATTCAGTATATAAAGATAAGAACCGATTAAGCATTAATTAAACAATCTAATCAACCATGTCGATGTGACTAACCGATGGCTAGCTACATTTAATGAAGACTAAGACCACCCCACGTGCAACACTTTGATTACCAAGAGAAGTTATAGTTTACACGGCAAAATTTTAGCGCCGTTTTTTCCCTTCAAACTAAGGGACTTGATGGTGCACCCGGGTCGACCAAACAAGCAAATACTGACTCGAGAACTTCTTAACTCAAGAAACCAAAAGTATCCATTTTCATGCAAGAATAGACCACAAGTCAATGGCAATACACATTGTGTAAAGTCTTAGGGCAAACACATCCCTGGAAAACATAATAAATCAAATTTTCGGATTTTTTTAAAAATAGTATTTTTTTTAGTTTTTTTTTTAAAGTGCAGATTTTTTATTTTTTTTATGGAAAACATGAATTTTTGAAAAAAAAATTGAAAAAAAATATTTGTTTTAAAAAATCTGCAATTTTTTTAAAATCATTTAAAAATCAATAAAAATTTTTAAAAAAATAAACTGGATTATTTAAAAAATACTATAAATTTTTAACCAAAAAAAATCAACATTTCTGGTACATTTATGCATATTTTTAAAAGTGCATATATCCATATTTCATATATTATAATATTTGTAAAGAATTCATAAGAAAACTCATTTTATTTACTAATCTATAAACACAATACAATAAGTATTTTATTCGATATAATATAAAATATAAAAAACAAAAAAATGCTACAAAATTTCAAAGCGTTTTCATGTCTTCGTGTCAATATTTTCATATTTTCTTCAATTTATCATTTTTCACCTCTTCAATATTCACTGCAATTTCTTCCAAATCTACAAGAAAAATAAAAAGAAATCGGTTGATGCAAAAACACTCACAAAAATACATATGTGATTTACATGTGAACCAAATGTAATTCATATGTGATTTACATGTGAATCACATATAATTCATATGTGGTTTACATGTAATTCATATGTTAATTACATATGAATCACATCTAATTCATATATGAATTACATGTGATTCATATGTAACTAACATATGATTTAGATGTTAATAACATGTGATTTACATGTGAATCACATATGCAATTCATATGTGAATCACATGTAAATCACAAGTGAATCACATATGAATTACATGCGATTCACATGTAAATCACAGGTGAGTCACATATGAATTACATATAAATCACATGTAATTCACATATGAATCACATGTAAATCACGTGCCTTAGTATACCACTAGCTTTGTTGAAGAAAGCCATATTTACTCTAAAATTGCAAATAGATTCATTTTAGGATAAAGAAAAATGAAGAAAAAAAGAGCTGAAGTCATGGGACCAAAATTCTAATTTACACTAAAATTAAATACTATGAAATCTTAATATATAATTATAAGCTAAAATTTATTTTTGGAAAATAACATAAAATAAGTTTAACTTAAAGCTTGCTGATTTTAGTTTAGCGCGTTTATACTCTACAAATCATAAAGGAAATCTCACAAACCGTGTTATTACTTTGTGGTATAGGTAACTCAAGTGCTTAAATATATTATATATTTATAATTATATATACTCTTCAGGTTGTTATATTTTATAAATTATTTGAAATTGAGCATACCTCCTGAATTGCTACATGGAGCTACAAGATATGGTCTATCAGTTGATATATGGTCAGTTAGTTGTATCTTTGCTGAACTTCTGCATGGAAAACCAATTATAACCGGCAAAAATGAGGTTACTTTAATCAATATTTATTGTTTTGGAAATCACAGTTTTTAATTAAACAATAACTCCAAATTTATTCTGCTTTCTTTTCAATTTTCATCCTAAGCTTTGACCGTAATGCCCTTGAGTTACTAGAGAAGAATGTAATTTACACTAATTACATTATATATTCAGATACTAAAAATGTAATTTACACTAATTATATTCTTTGAGAATGAAACTATCATTACCCCTGGAAGCTTAGTGACAGGGAGTGGCTCTCCAGTGAAACTTGACTCATCTACTGTGCTTCTGCTAGCTGTAACAATACCATCAGCAGGAACACGATCATGAATAATAATAAACATAACATTTTGTAAATGGATTAAATTTATAACAATATTTTATATTACAGAAGTTAATAACTTTTTTTATTTACTCCAGGTAGTACAATAATTTTATCTCCAACAGAAAGATTGTCACAAGGAACATCGATTGTTGAGGTTGACTTTTCAACATCATCACCATCCACTAAAAGACGAGCTTTTGGTGGAAGAACACTAAGAAGCCCTGTCATATCACTAGTTGCCTTAATCACAAAAGAAGCCTTATCATATCACAGAAGAAGCTCAACAAGGCGTCTGCATACACCTGCCTCAATCACAACCTGAACTTTATCATTTGTTCCATCAGATAAATAAGAAAAAATAGCCTACACCTGCATACACCTAAAAAATATGCAAATTTTCCTGTTGTTGAATTTTATCATTTGTTCTCATAAGCAAAGTAAGGTAATTCATCAAATTCTTACACTCATAAAATCGAATCAAATCATTGGGTTATGGGATCTAATAATCTTTTGTATTAAAGTTTTATTAAGAACAAAACTTGTATGATGAAACACCTCTGAACATATATAACTTCTTCGCATGGGTTATTGATCTAATTCAACAAACCCTGATACATTTGGGAACATCAAAAGAACTAAGGGTTTAAGTACTTAAGTGATTGATGTTCATGGATATTACGAACATGAATGAGGAAATGAGGACTATAAACGTTACCTTGCGATGAATTTGCATCAAAAAATCTTCAAGACCTAGAACATAGGCTCTTCCGCATGAGAAGATATTTTTAATGAACGTATCCATCAAAGAGATAACATGTCGATAATGAAGGATCTTCATTGTAGTTGCTATCGACATCTTGTGGACGTACAGTTGAGCGTTTAGGGCAATAAATCAGATTATCGACCTCCTTCAAATCCAGCGATTAGGTTTTCTGATTGTTGACAGGCGAAGGGAGGCGATCATGGAGGAGAGAGTGGTGAAGAACATGTAAGCGAGAGAGAGAACAAATAGAGAGTAAGAGAGAGAGAGAGAGAGAGAGAGAGAGAGACTAATTTGGGGATTTTTCCTTTAACTGATAGTGGTGTTAGATAGAACGATACCTTCAATTTCATATGAGTTCCGAATTTGAGGAATTTGTGGTTTCTGAATTTGAGGAATTTGTGGTTTGAACTGAATCGTATCGTCCATAATAAATCTAATCGAGTTTGTGATTTCTTCCTGAACTGTTCGTGTAGCATTGGTGGCGGCGGGGGTAACTGCGTCATGCTCGTGAATGATTAGGTTACTATGAACGTAAGGTCGTAGGCGAGGGTTTGGAACAGGAATGGTGGCGATCGGAGGAGATGAGGCAGTTGGTATGACGATATGATACACAGATGCCAAGAAGACGAAAGAAGCCGATATATTTATTGCCATTTTCATCAGGATAGAACAGACATTTGTGTTTCCCACAATACCCTTGTCCTTTTTAAGTTAAGATACCCCCACACCTATAAGTTTCTTTTAATTTACAAAAATGCCACAAGTAATCTTGATCATCTGTTTTTTCTATCTAACATTCCACATTTAGTTCTCGAGTTCTCGGGAAACTATGAGTTCTCAAATGATCCTTCCTCTCTCTCTCTCTCTGTATATATATATATATATATATATATATATATATATATATATATATATATATATATATATATATATATATAGGGTCCGGTTCCAGTGAGAACTCTCTTTTCGGTGAGGACTCTTGAGGACACCCTAAAAAAATTGAAAAAAAAAATACAAATCTTAAAATCGAGCATAGTACTATATCCGGGAGAAAAAAATTTTGCATCATGAAAATTGAATCATGGATCATAAAAATTGAATCATGGATCATAAAAATGATCCATGGATCTTAAAAATGATACATGCTTCAATTTTAATGATCCAATTTTTTTTCCAATTTTTTTTCTCTCATATGTAGTACTATGCTCGATTTTATGATTTGTATTTTTTTTAATTTTTTTAAGGTGCCCTCACGAATCCTCACTTTAAAAAGTGTCCTCACCCGATCTTATATATATATATATATATATATATATATATATATATATATATATATATATATATATATATATATATATTTTTTTAAGGTGCCCTCACAAATCTGAACATTTCATCTGGAAAAATGAGTGACTATGGTTTTTTTAGATTTTCTAATTTTTTTATTAGGGGACGGTGGCATTTTTGGGAACAACCTAAAGTATTTGTTGCTTTCCTCTGAAGGGCAAAAAGTTTAAGGGCATAATTGTCAATGTTCTATTCTAAATTCTTGGATGATCAATGAAGCGTAAGTTTACCTCTGTCCCTCTAATTTCATGGAGAATACTCTTTGATACTCTAAATCATTTAGGAAATCCCCCATATGATCTCGTAATCATTTTAATTCTTCGTGTTTAAGACTCGTTTTGGTTCGATTTCAAGTTATGAAAGCAGGTAAACATTCATTTTTAATTTATACTGTTTTTATCTTCGTTTTTGGCTTGATCTGAGCTATTTTGATTTGTATTGTTTGATTTTTCTTTGCTTTGCTTTTTGTTATGTAAGGTTAGAAGTGATAATGAATATAATATGTAATAATATGCAGTTTTTATGATAATCCCTAAATATAGTTACGATTTGTGATTTTTGAAACCCTAGTGTTCATATTCTTGTCAATTTGAGCTTCAAAGTATATAATACTGAATACTAAGATTAATTTTTTATGTTTTTGATTTTTGAAAATAGTTATGGACGAAGAGTTAAGATAAAAGCATCAAGTTGAAGCTCAATACAATGATGCTCACAAGGTGTTCGATTTAACGTCTCTAAGAAATCATATCCTAAAAACGAATAATTGAACATTTTCTTGTTGTTTTCATTTTTTTATATGTGATAATTACTGATGTAGTTATTTATAACAATGAACAAAGCTTTTTTCTTGAAAATTGTTAGACATTTTTAGGCATTGGATATTTTATTTGTTTTTTTACCGTAAAGTTTTATGTTTTGATGTTGTTTGGCTTTAAACATATGTTACTATATACACCCTTGATTGTTATGTAGATTTTGCAAAATTTAGAATCATATTACATTTAAACAATTCTGATAATTTTTTTTGTTACTTGATGATATTCTTTAATTACTTGTTTTTGGTACATCTGTTTATGATTAGATCATATGCTTATGATGAATAATATGTATTTCCATTAAAACTAGTTTATATAATTATATATGTTTGATTTTTTTTTCTTATTTCATCATATGATTGAGTTTCTTATTTTCTGAAACATTGATTGATGATTGCACTGATGGTTATTTGCATCATATGAAATTTATTATTTCTAGTTCGTTTAATAAATTATGATAACTTGTTTTCTTACTTGATAACTTCACTATATTTATTATTGTGGATCATATGTTGATGAGTTCATTATATTGTTAATTTAGTTATTTTAGATCATATTCAATGGTTTATTATGGATCTTATGTTGACATTGTTTTGCCTATGTATATATTCTTCAAAGAAAAGACAAAGATTGTATGATAACTAAAGTTTTTTACGAAAGTAAATTGTTATAATGGAACACCATTACTAATCTTTTGTAAAAGCTTATCAAACGGGACTTAAGCTTCCCCTAAAATCTGAAATATTATGAACTAAAGATACGGTATATTGGTGTTGAAAAAGTGGTGCATTATAGATTTTCTATTCCAAAAGAACCAACTTTGAAAGACAAAGAACTTCCCTGTGATTTGAAACTTTATGCCACTCCTATGAAAAATAATCATTTTGAATATGGGTAGTTTCTTATGAAGTGTATCTTGGTAACAAAGCTGATAATATTGAGGCTGATTTAGAACCTACAGTTGATGACTAAGCCTACAATTGGATAAGATAAGGAAGAAATATGTTGCAAAGACGTTATCTAATTTTAATTAATGGAAATCAAGATTTTCGAATACTTTAGATGATTCTAATAACTTTTGAATTTATAAGAAGAAGAATATTTAAAGTGAAGCGCATCTGAAAAAGTTCAAGTTAGGAGTGCAGGAATTGGAGGTTTATGATTGTTGGTTCAGGTGTGTTTGAAAACATATTATTCGTGTGGTTGTTGTTAAAGCATCTCATATATGTTTGTTTTTGGTTTCTATTTGCATTTTTTTAATGATTTCATGTCAGTTTCTTTAAGAAAACAATATTAGTCTGGTATGTTTTTTTGGTTATGAACCTTTTTAAGATACATTCTCAATTTTAGTATTGCATGGTTCTAGATATTAAATATGGTTTTGGATATTAATTTCTATTCATGGCTTCTAGATATTCAAATAAAATTATTAATTTAAATTTTTTGTTATCTATTTTATGGAAATTATTCATCACAATAATTTTTTTTAGATCAAGTTAAGTTACAAATCATATTAATGGATCATTGTTTGTTGGATAATAATCATGATAAAAATTTATTTAGATTAATTATTAATTTTTATGATTCTAATATTGATGATCTATCTTATATAAATTTTCCATCTTAAGTAATCAGAAATCCTTAATATACACAAACAGATTCAATCACATATGATTAAACACATAAAAACAAGAAATATGTAATCTGGTATAATCGCATATGATTACCATTGGCAATATGATTATACACATAAAACAAGACATATATAATTTGGTATAATCTATTATAATAACATATAATCACATATGATTACCATAATTGCCATAAAACAAAGACATATGTAATATGGCATAATCACATACGATTAGACGTATAAACACAATAAATATATAACAATCACAAAAAAGAGGACATACTCTGATATAATCACATGTGATTACCATCTATAATATACACAAACATATAAAATCATGGAGAATACATCAATCACACGTGATTTGACACATAACCATCTTTTACATATAATCACATGTGATTACCATCTATAATATACACAGACACAAAGAGATTAAACAAGATATTATTTGCATCTGTTATGAACATTATATGATTTATACATCAATCACATGTGATTAGACACATAAACATAATAAATATATAACAACCACATGTGATTATACACATAAAAAAAGACACACTCTGATATAATCACAAGTGATTATGATCCGTAATATATACAAACACATTAAATCATAGATAATACATCAATCACATGTGATTACCATATGTAATATAAATAGACACAAATAGATTAAATAATATATGATTTGCATCTGTTATGAAAAATATATGATTTATACATCAATCATATATGATTATACACATAAAACAAGACATACTTTGATATAATCACACGTGATTAGCATATGTAATATACACAAACAGATTAAATCACAAAGAAACATAAACCAAAAGCAAAAAAGTTGACTGAGGAAAATAAAATTGAAAAAAAATCACATATGATTATCATTTCTTATGAACATCATATATTTATAAGCTTGAAAACTAATAATAAAACATGAATGTAATAAAAAGTGTATACATCATTTCTCAGCATCAAATCTGCATGGACATGTACGACTGTTGTGTGGTTCTCTTTTACAACATGCAGAGGATTTTCTGGTCTTCTTTTGTGATTTCTTAATTTCTTTTTCAATTTCGCCAAAAAGAATTTTATTTCCACATCCTTTATTATGTTGAACATTTGGAACATGAATATTAACCTCTTATGGAATAGTAACCCTATAAAGTTTCTTGACCACATTTGAATTTTTAATCGACTCTTCGCTTGAAGAATCACTCTTCACTCAACAAAAGTTGTGTTTTTTTAGCCAGAGACGCTAGCTTATGCTTATCAACTCTCACAATATCTAAAGCAGATTCAATATTGAAAAATACTTCATTAAACAGTTTCATAACATTCGCATCCTCTTTATCAAATCGGTCTCTTGTTAGCTGGTAATTTGAAGATATTACATCCTTTCTCTAACGCCTAAGAAAATATTGTTTCGGTATTTCCTTAAAAAAATTGTCCATCAATACTCTGAAAGCATGTCTGCACAGTATACCGAAACAATTAACATTTCCACAACGACAATTCAGTTCTTTTTCAGCAAATGTTAGTTCCACATGTAACAATACAAAATCACATATGATTACACATCAATCAGATATGATTATACAAATAAACATCACACAATCTGGTTTAATCACATGTGATTACTATCATTTATATACACAAATATATTTTGTAAATCAATCACATACGATTATATAAATAAATATCACACAGACTGGTTTAATCACATGTGATTACCATCATTTATATACATAAATATATTTTCTACACCAATCACATATGATTATAGAAATAAACATCACACAATATGGTCTAATCACATGTGATTACCATTATTTATATACACAAATATG